CACTGAGCCATCTCCCCGGCCCCCAATAAAAAAATTTAAAAAAAAAAATAAATAAATAAAAGACTGGGTTACCGGGGGAGTTCAGTTTTGAAATGGTCATGTTGACGAGTGGGCTTTTAAAGATTTTAAACATTTAAAAAATCATATTCAATTGTGTTAAGGTAACTGGAATATTTATTTTGGCTACTGCCATGTTGATTAAAATGAGGAAGGCAGTAAGTTTGAAAAGTCCTGGCCCCACGCCCCAAGAGCTTCTTCAGGGTCATGTGACTTCTCTGGAGAACCTGAAAAGCTGAGGCGCTGTCATGTATTACAAGAGTTTTTGTTTCGTTTTTGGAGGGGCTCCTCTGTCCTCTTCAGAGCCAGCTGTCCTGGTTTTAATGCCTCCCCTCACCTCTTTTTTGTGCTGGGTGACAAGACAGCCCCAGGGCACTCAGAAAGAATTCCACAGCCCAGAGCTTGGAGGCACTTAGCGCTTAATGAGCCAGGGAAAGTCCTCTTTGTGAAATGAGAACTAAGTATAGATCACACTGATTAGATTTAAAAAATACTAATAAAGCATTTTACTAGGCTAAGGTGTACATAACAAGAACACAAAGCAACAAGCAAGAGCTCAGGCTTGGGATCACAGTTCCGGGTTTTAAATCCGGGTTCTGCCATGTCTTTACTTAGCTGAAATGCGGGACAGCACAGCGGGGCTTCGATTTCCTCACTTATAAAATGAAGATATCGACGCTAATCTCTCAGAATTAGAATGACAATTAAATGTGGCAACGCACATAAAATCATCCTGACACACATACAGTTCTGGCCTGGTCAGCTGTTCCCTTGTACATTTACTTGAACCACATTTTTACGTATCTGGGAGAACCAGGGTCATGTTTGTTGGAACAGACCTACTCTTTGGCTTCTATTGTTAGGTTTCACCAGAGCTTACTATAATTATTTGCTTAACGTCTGGCTTGCCCTGTTAAAATATAAGATTTGTGAGAACAGAGTTGTTTTGTTTCTCTGTTGTCTTCTCTGAACACATGGTTAGCATGGGATCTGGCCTGTCATTCCTGGGGTTACCACCACCACCCCAACACACACCCTGGGGTGGCAAATCAAGCCACAATGGGAATTTGGGTACAAGGAATTCAGGTACAAGAACAGGAGTGTGCCTCGGTGTCTGCCCTTAGGATTGCTGTGGATGCTACCTGACTAAGCTACAAGTGGCAGTGTGAGCTGTGTAAATCGAGATGGCCAGGTGTGCCACAGTCCTGACCTTCGCAGCATGGAGTGACAGCTGCAGGCGATGGCTCAGTGTCTCAGACACAGCCCAGCAGAAGGGAGAACTTCAACTGGTAGTCAAGAGCACATTTACCACCTTAAATGTTCCTGCTTTATTATTTTTTTTTCCAGGAATGTTAAGTTGTTAATTTATGTTTTAGAAGTAAGTCTTTTTCCCATTACTGGTTTACCAAAGTTACATTCATTGACGCAAATGTATTAAAGCCAGACCCACAGCTCTTAATGGGTCCTGTCTACCAAGATACTCCAAAAACAATGTTTTCATCTCTAAACCAAGGTCCATTCTCACCCTGGCGATGGACACCTGTCTGTGGGAGTCGACTGACCATCTTTCAGATAAGGAAGAAGACAGCGCAACAGAAGCCAGGCTGTGAGGGAGAAAGCTGGCTCAGGGCCAAGAGGATATTGGGGCCCAAAGACCTGTAACATCACCTGAAATGTGGGTAATCTTTTCGAGGTGTTGAAATCAGCGTCTTAGCAAAAAAAGTGAAGGAAGACTTCCAAGTAGAGACAAAGGAGACGTGCCTTGGAAACAAATTGGAGTGAAGATTCTATTGTGTGTCTCTCAGCCCTGCCTTTTACAAACTTCAGTGTTTCCCAGAAGACACACTGAGCGGTACGAACTGAAATCATTATTGAGTAAGTCTGTGATTTTTTTGTCCATTCAACAGAGTGAAAAAAAAGCATCTCAAAGAGAAAACAACCAGTTGCAAAAGCCATCTCACGAAATTGTTAAAAAATACAGGCTGGACAAAAGGTCTCAAGTCGACTCTAAATGAATTCCACACATTACATGTTGGACAGAGTTCACCGTGGAAGTGAAATGGAAATATTTTCCTTGGAATAGAGCCTGAATGAGA